TCACCTCATATTTTTAGAGCGGCAGTACGGCAGTACGGCAGGCAGCCTTGACGTATTTTTTGGATTGATGTGTGTGTTAGTGTGTTCATGCGGTTATCATGGTTTACCGGGTTGCGTACAGTGTAGGTATGTGTGTTTTTTGTATGGTTGTGTGAAGTGGGTGGGTGGGTGGGTGGGTGGGTGGGTGGGTGGGGGTTATATATCATCACCCCCGTGTGTGTGTGTATGTGTCCTCTGACTGGCCTGCTGGCAGCCCCCCGACCGCCTCCCCCGATACCCCGTTGCCCCCTCAAACTTGTCGGGATCGATCCTGGCGCATTCCTTAGGGCCACTAGGCCGCACCTGGGCATGTCTGCTGTGTCTGGAGAATGGAGACGCATATATGTATGTATACATATATACATATATATGTATATAAATATGAAATTTATATGCATATATATTCATACTACGCATGCACTGCAGGCCGAATTGGCGGAGTTGGTCCGCTCCGCCGCGGTCAAGCTGGAGGCTGCACGACCGCGTTCCGCCCTGGCCGTTGGCCGCCTTTCCTTCCTGGCCGGCGGCGTACGGCGCGCCGCCGCTGCCGCCAGCACTGCCGCCGCTCCCCTGCCGCTGTCGACATTACAACCGCAGCAGTCCAGCGAGGCCGCCGCGGCGGCGGCGGATGCGGCTGCCGCGGCGGATTTTGCCGCGGCGGGCGGCGGCCGAGGCGTCCGGGAGCCGCCGTCGTCGGCAGCGGACTTTGACGGCGCCGCCGCTGGCGCTGCTGCGGGCGGGTCTGCGGCGCAGGTGCCGCTGCCTGACTGGATGGAGGAGGCTGCGCGTGAGCTCGGTAACACCGATCTTCTCACAACGGGCAGCGGCAGTTTGTTGGGTCACGTGACCGGGCAGCTGCTGCTGCAGCCGTACACGTTGCACGACGTATGGCTCAAAAAGGTACGACAATGGCCTACAATATAACCACCACTGCCACCACCATCACCTTGCTACAGCTCAGAATCGTTTACCTCACTTTCACTTATTCGTTATTCTTATACGCGTATCCACGACATATATACGGAGATCGCAAAGCACACCTATGTAGCCTCCAGCTTTGCGCGCCCATCTTCAGCTGGAGGGACTTTTCCCCCCCGCCTCACGTCACGTCACATCACAGGTAAAAGATAACAGGATATCGGCAGCGACAGGCCAACGATGGTACCAGCCATGACTTCCCTTCCCTTCACTTCCCTTTCCCTTCACTTCACTTCCCATCGTCACCCTTTCCCCCCCATTCCTGGTGCATCCCAGTACCCAGGACTACATGTATGTATGTACAGCTAAGTGAGTGCCGCAATGCGCTCCCCTCTCCTTCCCATATAACCCGGCTAAACCACCTCCCCACGTACCATTCCCCTACTCTCCCCCGCACCCCAGACCACCCAATGTATATCCCCCCAAACCTCCCTTCACCCCTCACCCCTCACTCCCACCCCGCACCCCCAGGGGGAGTTCCTGGCCCGCAGGGGCCACTACGCGGCCGCCCGGCGGCTGCTGAGTCACGCCAGGTACCACGCAGCGGACTGCGGTAACCGGGAGGCGGAGGCGAGGTGTCTGCTGGCTCTAGGGAGGGCGGAGCTGGCGGCGGCCAACCCCGGGGAGGCGGTGGCGCTGGTGCAGGTGGGTGAGGGGGTTGAGGGAGTTGAGGGGGCTTCACAGGTGCACGTTGTGCAGACGCGAGGGAACGCATAAACATGGAGTGTGCTTGTGTGTGTATATGTATGTATATATGCATATATGTATAAGAATATATGATATCTATTAGGCTTATATTACACTGTTGGCTGCGAAAGCCGGGGATATAACTGTATGTTAATTTTTTTAAGTGTTTCGTGAAAGATGTTTTGGTGACTTGTTTCCTTATTGGTTTTGCATTCCTTTCCCCTCGCGTCGCCTTTCATCCCCTGTGTCCGATTTTCAGAACTGGAAGCACTGACAGGTACAATTACCATAATTAATATCTGTTGTACAATGATGTTGAATTTATTTATTCACAAAGTGCGCCCAGGGTGTTTTCTCAGGATGTTCCCCGTGCCCCTCCCTGCCGCCCTGCCCTCTTGGCTCCATCTCACCTCGCTTAACGAGCAGACGGCTCAGCGACTTGGAGGCGATATTGACTTCTGGGCGGAGCTGCTCGTCCATTACGTGGACTGCCGTACAGCCGCCAGGGACTCCACCAGTGCGTATGCCAGGGAGGCGCTGCAGGTGCGGACCTTTGTATACGTATGTATGTAGGTATGTATATCTGTCTGTCGGCGGCGATGCCCAGGCTGAGGAAGCGATAGAGGCGAGGATAAGTGCGTGTGTCCCACATTTCCCCCTGGCCCCCCTTCCCCTCCCTCCCCTCCTCCAACCCCTTCCCGACAGGGCGGTATCGCCTTGTTCCTGGCGCTTGCCCGCGACGACCGGTCCGCAGAGAAGCCCGCCTCCGCTGCAGGTGCCGTACTGCGAGTACGACTGGCTCGGCTGTTGCTGGCGGATATGGAGATGCTGCGGGCGCAGGTGTGTTGAGGGCGGGTGGGTGGGTTGCGGTGGCGTCCAGTGAGGGTGGGAGGGGGTGCTCGTGTGCTTCGGGTGGCACGACCGACCGCCAGGATTTGAGTGACCGCTTGGGCGCAGGGGGGAGTGGGAGGGAGTGGGAGCGGAATGCCCAACAGCAGCTCTGAGCGGGGTGAAGAGCGAGGAAAACAAGGAGCGTCTAACAGACGCCCACAGGGCGGGGCCAAGGAGTGGCGGCGGCGACGATACCCCAGTTGGGGCAGTTGTGCGTGGTAGGGTTGTGTGTACCCCCCCACCCGCGAGCGACCACCAGCTGCTGGCGGTCCCTACCCTCCCCGACGATTCCCGGGGGGGGGGGGGAGAGACACCACCCGCATTCTCCTCATCACCCATGAGGGCCGAACTCAGTGACTTTTCCGGGTACTACACACCCACCACCACCACCATGTTCTCCCTTCCCCCCCACACACAAATAATGTGCCAGACAAAAAACACTCTCTTGCCCCCCCGCCCCTCTTACTTCTTCCCACGAAAGGGAGTTAGCACGTGGCGGAAGTCGTACGACCAGGCGGTAACGCTTGTGAACCAGGCCATCATGGCCCTGGCGGCTAGGGAGGTGGGCATACCGCACATCGAGGCGCTGCTGATGCAGGTGGGGGAGGACGTGTGTGTATGTGTGTGTATATGTATGTGTGTTCCGCTGCACGACTGAACTGAACAGACTGATTGTGTGTGTGGGGGGGGGAATGGGAGCTGCGTACGAGTGTATGATGTCCGTACTCTTGTTCTGTTTGGTCCTGCAGATCCCCGCACCCCTGTTCTTGTTCCTGAGGTTGGTGATAAAGAGATTGCAACGTACACGGCAGCTGCCCCACAGCTGCTGAAGTCGCCGCCGTCAACCACAATTGCGTTACGACTCCCTTCTCCCGGCTGTTCCCCTGCCCCCTGCCCCCTGCCCGCTGTGTCCCCCGTCCCCCTCTCCGGGCCCTCCGGTTGTGACCTGTTGTCAGTCGGAGCTGATGTTGGCTGACCCCACCGCGGTGAAGGACCTGAGGCCCCGATTCAAGAAGGTGGAGAAGGTGCTGCTGGTGAGTGCGGGGAGTGAGGAGGGGTGGCCGGGCAGGAGTGGAGTGGGGGTGAGGGGTGGGTGGGAGTGTGTGAAGGTTTGTTGAGGAGGGGGTGGGTGACAGGGTGTGAACGGCCGTGGGGAGGTATGGTCGACCGTGGCAGACGTACATACGTACGTACGTACGTACGGAAACTCGGCATCATCTGATGCGACAAGGACGAGGGCACGGGAGACACGGGGTGTAAGGAATGCGCATGTGCGAGTGGAGGGGGGGTGGGGTGGGGTGGGGTGGGGTGGGGTGGGGTGGGGTGGGGTGAAGAAGGCTCCGCTTGGCTCACCCCCGCGTTGTCATTCCCGGTTGTTGTCCTCCTCCGTTACGGCAAGGCAGTAGCATGCTCTCCCTTTCCACCACTTCCCTTCATTCCCACCCCCGAATGCAATAAGCCACTACCCCCTCCTCCCCCGTCCCCCCCTTCCCGTTCTGCTTCTTGTACACTCTTGCCCTGGCAGCAGCTTCACTCGTTCGTGGTTCGTCTTTCCCGCGTCCCCCTCCTCCCCATGATGCCGATGTTGGTGATGATGCTGATGCTGATCAACCCCACAGGCCGCGGAGGAGATGGCGGTTCGCTTCCAGACGGAGTCCACACCCCGGGATCTGGACCCACGGGTCGTAACGCCCACTACCCGCCTGCTGGCCCGGGTGCGCTGCGCCCTGGCGGATGTGCAGCTGGCGGCGGCAGCTGAGCGTGAGCGACTGGCGGCGGAGGACCGGGAGAAGGCGCGACCCAAGTTCCCCAGGATCCGGGGGCAGGACGCCAAGGTACGGCCGTGTCGGTGGTGGTGGTGGTGGTGGTGGTGGTTGGTATAGTGGTGGTGGGGCTCCTGGGTTTCTTCCCTTTAATAAGCTCCGGCCCGCACCTCCTCTCTCCCTTGACGCCCTCCTGCCCGCCCACCTTTTCCGTGTTCAGATGGCCAATGTACAGATCCACACCTGCGTTTTACCTCTTCCTTTCGTCTCACCCACCTCACCTCGCGCCACCTCACCTCACCTACTTTTCGCTGTCCCCAACTAACTTTCCGTTGTCACCAAGCCCGTTCCGTTGTACGCAACTGCTTTTCTATGTCGGCTATATTCAGGTGGTGGTTGATTTCATTGACGAGACGGGCGGCGGTCCCCCACCTCCCCCGGGTCTGCGGCCTGAGGACTCGGCACTGGCGCTGGCCAGCGGTGCGGCGGCGCTGGTGGCGGCGGCGCCTAGGGACCGGGCTAGGGCGCTGCTGGTGGCGGGTGAGGTCGCGGTGGCGGTGGGGAGGGAAGGGGAGGGGCTTGGGAGTGATGCGGATGGAGAATGGGAGAAGGAGTGATGAGGATGCTGAGGAGGAGGACGAGAATGCAAATGTATATATGCTGAGCGTGCTCTGAACCTTTAGCTCACAAACAGCCGAGGTGTACGGCGTATCTTGTGGTGGTGTATGGTATCGTATTGTGTGTAATGTGTGTGTATGTACGTATGTATGTGCCGCAGGTCGTTGCCTGCAGTTCAAGTTCTTCACAACGGTGCCGGCGGCGCTGGACCCCATGCGCCCCTTTACACCGCCGCCGGCTCCGGCAGCAGCGGCAACGGCAGCGGCTCCGTCGCCACGGCGCAGCAGTGGCGAAGAAGCCGCCGCAGCCGGCACTGCCGCTGAAACCGAAGACAACGGCCCCGTCAGCGCTTTCGCGGCGGCAGCGGACGCGGCGGCGGCGGCCGCTCGGTCCACGGAGGGCGCCGCGGCGCTGCGGCTGCGGGCCCAGGCCGCCGCCATCCTGGGGACAGCAATGGAAGCAGCGGTTGCCGTACAAGACTGGCGGCTGGCGGAGCGCGCGGCGTTTGAGCTGGCGCGGTGTTACGGGCAGCAGGCGCCGGCGCTGGCCTGTCGGTCACTGGCGTTCGCACAGTCTTGTCGTACGGCGGCGGCGGGCCAGGACCTGCTGCGCGCGGCGGCGCCGCCGCAGCAGCCTGAGGTGCTGGCGCTGGCGCAGCGGGACGCGCTGGCGGCGGCGCTGCCGGCCCCGGGCGACAACCCGCACTACAGCGCGTTGCGGCGGCTGTTGGGCGGGCTGAAGGGCGCCGCCGCACGGTTGGATGTGGCGACGGCGCCGTCGGTGGAACGGCAACTGATGACTTTGCCGCCGGTAGTGTGAGGGGGCGGAGCGCGGGTTAGGGCACAGTGCGAGGAGGGATAAGGAAGGGGGGAAGAGGAGCTAGGAGGAGGGGGAGGGGGAAGGTGAGAAAGAAGGGGGGTGCATACACACACACACTCTCTCTCTCTCTCTCACACACACACACATACACCCCTTCCCGCCCTCCCTCCCTCTTATCAGGATCTGCGGGTGCTGTGCCTCTACTTCTCGCCAGACGGCTCCCAGCTGTTCGCGGCGGCTCTCAATATCCCCGACCAGCAGGGGCCACCAACTGTCGCCCAGGAGAAGAGTGAGCTGGGGGGTAGTCGGCGTGTGTGGGTGGTGGGAGGTGTGGGGGAAAAGACGAACCACGAACAAGTGAAGCTGCTGCCAGGGCAAGAGTGTACCAAGAGTAGAACTGACCAAAAGGCGTTCTTGAAGGCGGCGACCCGGAGGGGGTGTGGGGGGACGACAACGTCACATTCGGTGGAAGGGAAAGGAGGGAGACGGTCCTAGTACACTGCACTTCTGTGTGTGTTTGTGTGTGTGTTTGTGTGTCAGTTTGTGTATGTGTATGTGTGTTTTGCAATTATTCAGAAGCGGCTGTTGAGCGGCTCCTCCTCCTCCTCCTCCTCCTCCTCACCTTCACTACCTCCGCCACCTGTACCGCCTCCGCCACTCCGTCCACTGCGGGGCTTTCCGGGACCCCGGATTCTGTTACCTCTAAATCGCCCCAAGCCCGGTCCAACGCGGACAACATGAGCTTGCTTGCCGCATCCGTACACGTGACGTACGTACTGCTAAGTGAGACATCCCCCCAATACCAGGTCGCAAGAAGCTGGATCCGGGGACTGGTCCGGGGGCTGCTGGGGGCGGTGGTGGGGGTGGAGCTCCCCGCATCTGCCTGCTCCACCGGGTCGATGTGAACAGGGCCTCAGCGGATGCGCTCAAACAGGAGTTCAGGGGGTACCGCAGGTGAGTGCGTGTGTACGTGAGATTATATGTGTGTATGTATGTATGTATGTCGGTCGGAGCTCCCCGGGTTGCAGCATTCCACACCTTCGTTAGCTCCTGGTTTGCCGCCCTCCTGGGCACACACACACACACACCACCAACACCACCATTCCCCCCAATGCCGCGCTCCCAAACCCCCAACCCCCAACTCCCAACTCCCAACTCCCACCCTACGGTTCTCCCCCCCATACATCAGGGGTGTGGAGCGACAAATCCGGGAGGGTATCTCCTCCGCAGCCGCCAAGGGTATCGGTGTGGCTTCGGAGGACGCGGCCGCTGCCGGTCCCCCCAAGAAGGGTGGGGGCACGGAGAGGGGTCGGGTGGGGATGGCAGGGAGGGCCGGGGAGGGGGAGGCGGGTTGCGGTTGCAGGGCTTTCATTTGCGACGTCATTAGGTCCAATGCAAGAAAGGCAGGACTTGCAAGCGGTGGTGCTGGTGTGTACGTGCCGGCACATCGCGACACTTAGAACACCGCACCGGCCCACAACACATCACATCACCCTGAAAAACGCCAGACCCAAAAGGCTTCCCCCTTTTCCTACCATAACATCCCCTTATCTACACCTTCCTCCCCAGTCTCTACTCTTTACTTCTGTCCTTTTCATCCCCCTTCCGTCCCGGCCACCCCCTCCCCTTCCCTTCCCCTTCCAATATACACACGCACATACATACACCTAAACTCGACCCAGGTTCCAAGACGAGTTCCGGAGCCTCCAAGCGGCCCGCCAGTAAGCATCAGACCACACGGCCCGGAGCAGCCCCCTCTCCGGTGCCCTCCGGCCAGCCGGGGGGAGCGGAGTCACCCCTGGACCGGGGACCCGTATTTGATCTAGCCATAAATGAGGCCTGGTTGCGGCTACTGAGTCAAGTAAGGGCCGAGGGGAAAAAGGGGGCACGTGGGGAGCGATGTCGGGGGGCGATGTCTGGATGTGGGGATTTTCTAGACGCAAAGGATCGCCGTCTTCACCTTCCCCCGCATGCAGTAATGCCACCCAGGTTTGATGTGGAGAGCTCCCGCTCCTCCGCATTCCCCCTTTGTACTGCCCATCTCCCTTTTCGTTTCCCCCTATCTCCACCCCGCAAATCCCTCAAATCCCTTACCCCTCTAACCGTACCCTAAAACCCTAAACCCCCCCCACGTGTCTGAAACCCGTTTGCCGCCAGTTCGAGGCCTGGCTGGTCCCTCTGCAGCCCTGGCTGGAGGCCGCACTGCCCCCACTGCCCCCCGCCCCACAGCACACTGAGGGCAAGAAGGTGGGGGGAGGGGGCAAAGACAAGAACGCACAAGGGGGCCCACCCAAGTATAAGGTGAGGATGTGGCTGGGGTGGCGGGCTGGGGCCGGGGGTTGGTGGGCCGGGGTCGGGGTAAGGTGTTAGTCGGCCAGCACGCCATCAGGGCTCCCCGTCGCTCCCCGTGCCGATGCCGCTGGTGCTGGTACTGCGGGTACGGGTACTCGTACCTCCATTTGACAGGTGAGGTGTGGTGCAACGGGGCCTGCTGGCGCCACTACCATTCCCGCCACTGCTGCCCCAGCCCCAGCCCATGCCACTGTCCTTCATGTGCCCCGGTCAATGATCGTCTGTGTGTGGATGTGTACATGGGTTGGCACGTAATTGTGTATGATTGTTTGTATGTATGTATGTCCCATCAGGTTTCTCTGCTTTTGGACCCCGCCCTGGACGGACTGCCATGGGAGTCCGTACAATACCTGACCGCCAACTGCGCCTGGGTTGGACGAGCACCCAGTCTGCAGGTATGTGTGCTGGGCCTCCGGTGTGCGCAGCAGCACGCTGGCAAACTGCCCTGTCTAAGCTTTTTGCAGGGCTCTATATGCAGGGGCCTCCTCCCCCTAAACACTAAACCCCTAAACCCCCCTTCCCTGTTCAGGCCCTGGCTGCCTGCCACTCAACAACCGCCGCCGATGGTACGGCACCAGACTCCGCCACGCCGCCGCCTCCCCTTCCCCCCCTGGACCTCGGCCGCGTCACCCCCATCATCGACCCCCGTCACGAGTGCTCCACACTCGCTCAAGCCCGCGGCCCCTACATGGCCCCGCTCATACCCGCCATGTCCGCGCCGGAGCTCCTCACGGCCCTGCCGGCGGTGCAGTGGTGGAGCGGATTCATGGGCGAGCCTGGCCGCGCGCCCTCGCCTGACTTGTATGCGGGATTGCTGGCGGGTTCCTCCAGCTTGCTGTTTTTGGGTGTGGGGCGCTTTGCGGCTCATGTGGTGCCCTCGGTGTTGGCTTCTGCGGATCTGAGCGGGTGCGACGCGGCCCTCCTGTTTGACCGGTGTAACACGGACGAGGCTTACTGGGCGCAGCTGTATAGGGACAACCGCAAGAGTGCGGAGCAGCGGCGGCTGGAGTCGCCGGGGAGGGTGGCGGCGCTGCTCCTGGCGCGTGGCGTGAGGTGCGGATGCGTGTTTGGTGTGTATACACAGATTGCCTTTTTGCGTAAAGCTCGGATGTGCATGTGTCTGTGTGCTTGTGTGTCTGCAGGGGGAAGAGGGCGGGAGAAACAGGGATCATTGCGTTTTTCGTGTGTCATGGACGAGGTGTCTGGGTGTCTGGGCGTGTGCATGCATGTGTGTATTGTATTGTGTTAGAGGCCAGGCATGAGCCGAGGCGGGCGGGAGAAGCTGAGGCCCCGATCTATAGATAGACATCTCGCCACATGCTGCGGATTACGTCGTAGGAACGGTCTCCGGGGGAATTAGGACGTAAGAAGCCTCTTCTGTTTGCCCACACACGGACAGGTTCCAACCCCTCTAAAAGCCCCACAAGGTCCCCTGGGTAGAGCTCAGACTCTGCCCCCCTTTCTTTGCGTCCCAATGGCAACGGCGAGGGCGATGCCTCATTGCTAAGGTGGCTATAGCAGCGGGTCTCTGCTATGTGTGGGTTTTCGCGTTCTATGTGTTTGTGTATGTGTGTGTTTGTTACATATCGATCCGGGCCTGAACCTGCCCAGGGGCACCTAACCGTACCCTAACGGGTACGACCGCCGAAGTGTTCCTCGACTACACGTGTCCATGTGTCTATGTGTGTACGTGCAGGACTGTGGTGGTGACGGCCGCTGCGGCGCCGCCAGCAGTGGCGGTAAAGCTTATGACGGGGGTGCTGACGGGTCTGTCGGCGGGGCGGAGTGTCGGCGAGGCGGTGTACGGCATGCTGACGGGAACGCAGCTGGACGAGTTCGAGCTCCTGCACCTCAAAGCCAACCTGCAGGTAAAACTTTTGCGGGGGAGCCAGCGGGGAGCGGAAAGAGTTTACCTTTGTGCACATGTGCATGGAATGAGGTTCGGGAGGTTGGCTGCAAGCCGTGTTCAAAAGTGGCGATTATCAGGATTTGGAGAGGTTGGCAGTGCTGTCGGCAGTTATGTTTGGGGAAGAAAGGTCAAAATAATAAAAGGCGAGGAGCTCCTCCGGGGCCGTGCAACTGCCCCGCCCGTGTGTGCGATACGTCACCACAAGGCCCCATGGCCCCGCGGGTGGGGAGGTGCCGCAGACGCGGGCCCTCTCCTCCCCTTGTGGAAGTGGATTGGGCCGGCGGGGATGTTGTTGGGCGGAAGAAGAGGGGCCTCAAGGGCCTCCGGCGAATATCCTGGCTCAGTCGGGGAGTTAGGTGGGGCAGCCGCGGTGCTGCAGAGTAAAGCATCTGCTAATGTGCGTATGTCTTTTTCCTTATGCGTGCCTGTTTTTTTTATGCGCTCCGGGCAGGTCTGGGGCGCGCCGGGTTTGCTGGGCCAGGTCATCACCCAGGGCACCAAGGGCGGCGCTAAGGGGGCCGGCGCGCGAGGCCCCGCTCCAAACAAGCGATGACACCAGCAGCAGCAGCAGCAGCAGCAGCAGGTGTGCGGCGCGGCAACGCAACGCAACCCCCAATCCGGTGACTTTGACTGGCCCGTCCCCAGTACCCGACTACGAAGACAGCTTCAGCGTGCACGTGCTGCGAAAACTCCAGGAGCGCGAGATGGAATGTGTGGGCGCCGGAGCATAAACTTTGAGAGTGAGAGAAACTTCCGACCAGCGAGTCAGTTCTGCGATTAGGTGGCGATTGCTTAAGAGGTGTAGTGCAGTCTCATAGATGTGCGCCGCGAGGCGAAAGTTCGGTCTTGACTTGCGCGTTCGCGTTTGTGATTGTGTGAAAGGAGGGAGACTGAGAACCGCAGCAGTCGCACCCTCTTAAGGTCGCAATACGTTGGCCCTCAATAGGTCTTCTGGGAGTGCGGCAATAGCAGCCACAGCAGCGGGGCGAGTTCATGTTTACGCGGCCTTGTTTGTATGACTCAAACTGGCATATTGCTGTAAGGGCTTTCCTCCTCGAGGAAGGTTCGGTATCCTCAAAGGAAGGTCCCTTTTCATCTTTTGTCTGAGGAGCGATGCTCGCTGCAGGATGGAAGTAGTGCCGTTTCGCGAAACCAATTCTTCGAGTCGCGAGCTGATGCTAGGCATGGTGGATATCATTTTCTCGCTTTCGAAAGGGACACTGTAAATGAACGAATCAACGAATTAACGTTTGAAAGAGTTAATGATGTTCCATGTGGATCCGAGCGGACCGCTGGTATTTGGGTAACCATGTAATCACTGTTGCTGTTTGTTAGGCCATACCGCCGAATCACCATGAGTCACCATCGCGCACGCAAAGCCCCTCACCTCCTCGCCGCAACTCCCCTTCCTCGCAACTCCCTTCCGTGACTGCCACGGCGCGGCCCGTACATCCCCAGAAAAAAACCCTGCCACAGCCCAGTATTACTAATTGGAGACTCAGCTGCCGACGACTTGCTTTATTTCGGGGACTAGGATGGAGGTCACCAGCCTTAGGGGCTCCAGTCGCTATGCTACGTCGCATCTAAGCCAACAAGTTGGTGCATATCTGCGATGATCAGGTGGATATCTGGCTGCCTGCCCTTCTATCTCTGGCATTGTCTGTCCAGCATCGTTACCGGCCCAAACAGCTTGCGGACACCTTGTTACACCGTCACCGAACGACTTCACATAGCAAGGAAAAACAGGAAATGCGTCTGTTACAAATGCGTCTGTTACAAATCCACGGAAGCGCAATCGTGGCAGCTCGAGAGGATTTGACCGAGCTCCAAACGGCTTGAGTTCGGCATTTGGCAGGCAGTGGCAGGTTGGCCGGACTGTTATGTGTAACGCGGAGGTCGAGAAGCTTTCAAATGGCTAAATTGTTGAATCAAAAACTCGTACGCCTTATTGTGCGCCACCTCAAACATTCAGCGTAACGAGTGAGTCAATAAAACTATATGTTATCACAAAGTAGTAGAAAAAATATATAGAAATTATGTGACAGAGGCAATATATGTGTAATCAGCTTTCCACAAAGTGGTACTAAGAGCGCTATGTATCAGCCATTGTAAGCACCCGAAACCCCGTTACTAAGACACACCGCTCGCAAGTCGACAAACCGTCTGTTTAGTCTACACAATCTTCTGCAACTCTCCATCGAAACAATATGCAAAGCGCAAATGGCGGAAATGATGCAGGACGCATCCGAGCAATGCGTAACACTCACAGCGCACTGAACTTTTGAGGTCAACCGATGACAGAGCAACTAATTTTAACCATAATCAGAGAAATTGCACGGTAACGATGTGCACATTGCTTTTAAGTTTCCAGAAGAAGGATTGGTTTCAAAAAAAGGGTTAAGTTCAATCGGTGCTGTGTAACACATTTGCTGTCTTGTGAAGAAAAGTCGCGACAACTGATGTGGCATATGTACGGTAATTGCCGTCCACGAGGAGACGGCCAGACTGCTCTCTGTGCTGCATTTGGGTGTCTGTCTTCACCGATGGCAACGGCCTTGGAGTTCCCTGGGCCGCAGCGGCGATTTGGTCACTGTGATGATTAAGATGGCGACGACGGCGGGGGCCTGCGCGGTCGTCGAGGCGATGATGATGCAGGTTTTGACGGCGGCCTGGCGGGTCGGGACGGATTTCGGGGCGCCGGAGGCGGGCTTGGCTGCGGAGGCAGCGGTGCGCGTGGCGGCGGCGAAGGGTGGGCAGGTGGTGGTGGAGTGGGTGCGGGGGAAGGTGGCGGCGGCAGTGGTGGTGGCCGAATTGAAAGTGATCGCGGTGGCCGTGGCGGTGGTGGAGGGGGCAATGGGCGAGGAGGTCGGATTGGTCGCTGGCGAGGCGTCGCTGGTGCGCGTGGCTGCGGAGAGGACCATGATGCCGATGGCGGCGGTGGAAGAGGTGGCGGGGAAGGCGGTGGCGCTGAGGGTGGAAAAGGGAATGGTGGTGATGGGGACGGCGGCCACGACGGGAGGACCGGTCGCAGTGGTATGAGTGGTGATAGTGGTGGTGGAGGGTGGGTTGAATCTGTCAACATTGGGACCAGAGGCGATAGCGGCAAGGATGGTGGCGATGGGAAGGAAGGTGAGGGGGACAGCAGCCTGGGACCAGCCGGAGACGGCAGCGCAAAAGGAGGTGGCGGCCGC